GCTGGTGGACCCGTGCAGTGGCGCTCCAAGCTGCAGACGGTCACTGCCACGTCTACTGCTGAAGCCGAGTTTATGGCTGCTTACTCTGCGGCCAGCGAGACTATGTTTGTTGATCATTTGGTTCGTGAACTCTCACACGCCGTCTTCAAGCCCGTGTTGTTCAGTGACAACCAGGCGGCGATCCACATGATTACAAACGGAGCCAACTCTCCGGGCTCCAAGCACATTGCTGTCAAGTATCGCTTTGTGCAAGAGAGGTATGAACGCAACCAGCTCGATGTCCGGTTCTGCGGGACCAAGGACATGGTTGCTGACCTTCTCACCAAGCTGCTCAATGGACCGAGCCATCGTCGTTTGTGTGACATGCTCTTCCGTTCTCAGCTTGAAGGGGAGTATTAGAGGCACAATCTGAGACGGTATACTTTACCACGTTGTGTGTCCTCTGGTACTTGATGTTGTCCCACCTTGTTGTGTAACATCTTGCTGTACCATCTTGGTGTATCATCTTGTTGTGGCATCTGTTGGTCCCAACAGATTGCTGATATCGCCTCCACCTGTCTTCAGTGTGATAGTCCATTCTCTGTCTCCACTGTGTGTGTGTGTTTCCACCTGCTATAAATGGGAGCGATCTCCCTGGATCGGTACCATTTTCCTTCTTGACCTCGGTCGTTCCACTTCCCTCCTTCTGTCTTGTTCTGTCTTGTTCCTTCGCCTTGCTTCAATCCATGTTCTCGTATGCACTTCGACTGGTTGGATACCTCTGTGACAATCGCCTTGTCCACACACATTACACTGTACTGGACATACACCTTTAATAGAGTTTGCACGCAACGGTGATACCATGACCATCAAGCAGACAAAGTACATCGACGATATCTTGGCTACCTTTCACATGACCGATGCCAAGCCCGCGCCGATGCCATTGAGTCCAGGCATTTGCCTCGACTAGGGGAGTACCGACATTGACCCGTCGATCCCTTACCGTGAGCTCTTGGGCAAACTGATTTACCTCATGACTCACACTCGCCCTGACATT